AATAGGCAGATCTTCCGTTTCTTGTTATCAGTTTGGTTACATGGGGGTCGGTTTATCAATCATATACAGTTCCGGAAGTATATACTCAATAATTTTCCATTGTAAGCCAGCCCACAGGAAGCCTGTTGTAAAATAATGTCCGATAATGTTTGACGATGCCGGTTAATTTAGTACAATATAGGCGAGCTGTGGGTGTGTTCCTAGGATATATATATATTCATATTCATAATATTAAACACAAGCTTGATTAAATATCTCAAAATTGTATATTACTGTACTGTACATGCAAATTTCACTAATAACACCAATTATTCTATGCTGTGGGGATGTGCAACCAAACCCAAGGCCTGGTGAGATAAATTGCCAAAAATATATCATTTAAATGTTTGTAGTTTGAAAGACAAAACTGATATAATCGATATTGAATTTCATGATTATGGTAATTTGTATCACAGAATCATTTCTTCAATACAGATTTTTAATCCAGATTCTGTTAAGTTATCCGCTGCCGCCTCAGACTCGGATGTAGTGACCTAAACGGACATAAATTCGACAGATTCATAACTGACAGCCCAGGTTGTTCCTCTGGTCACCACTATGAAGACCCGCTACACTACTTCTTTGTTTGTTGCAATTATGATCAAATTAGAAGCAACTTATTATATTATATGAAGGATATGTACAGTACTATACGGACGTAAAGGCCTATCATCTGAAACAAATCAAGACATTTTCCTATCTGTCCATACTTTCATCACAAATTCTGGTAGTTTTAAACTTAAATAATACACAAAAATCTCAATATAATAAATATGTATCTTATGTACATTATGTAGTACTTTATACTACAAAAAAAAACATTACTCTGACTATCAAACTCGGACTCTGCTTATCATGCTCGATAACTGACCACCAAGGTATTTTGTGTAAATATTTTGTAAGCGCCTTGACCATCTTTATTTCCCAATTTCTATGTAGAGAGAGGTATTCAAATAAGCGCTGTCTTGTTGCCGATCCCAATTTTCAGTTGAAATAAAAATAGGTTTAAACCATATACATTGTCAATGCAAGAGAAAAACCAGCCTACATTTTCTGCCGAAACAGTTTGCACTTGGCCTGAAGGGCACATTAGCAATAGAAATTATATGAATGGGCCACTGAAAATCAGTTGTGACAACAGGTGGTCGCGAAAAGGGTAAGCATGTCCTGCCCTATCGGAAGTAGCCGACATACACACAATTTGCAATAAAATAGTAAGCTCTTGTTTGAAATATCGCTTTGGGGCTTTTTCATGTTGCCTTGACACGCCACCCATGCTTGTAACAACAATGACATGGTTATTACCGTACGGTATACTAAGCTCCTGTTACATAGGCATTGTGGTATCTCAGGGGATTATCTCGGTCTCGTGAATTATATATGAGAACAATACCTGCCGGCAAAGTGAAAGCACTCCAATAATAAGGCTTACAGTCCTGCCTTCCCTTGACCTGACTTCATATTACTCGGGGCCAAGAATCCACCAATCGTACATAACACCGGGTCACATGTTATGTGAAGCAGCTCCCAATGTGTGGATTAACCGAAATAGAATGAGAGTATTGGTGACCAGTAGATGATATGCATACAGGCTATACCCGTTACGTGAGGCGACGTGTATTTTGAGAGTGATTGAACACTTCCATATCCTTAGGGCATTTAAACTTTTCCAAAGCTACAACTTCTCAATATGCCTACTAAACATCACGAATGGTCAAATATTTCAACATGGACTGTTCGGCTCGGAGTCAGGCTACTGTTTCTGAGTGGGGTATTCATGAGTTACTTAGAAGTTGAGGGATGACAAAGTAGACACAATTTATGGATAACAACTTCTTTAATATTGTGGAAAGCGACGTTTCGGTATAGATCCTTATACCGTTGTCAAGATAAGACTTCTATGTTCGTATTGGTATGTTTTGCAAGGAAGAAAATATATGGATCTCAATTGCTTTTATGAGGAGTATATGCTTACACCTTCATCGGGTGAATGAATGCCATGAGGCACAAAGCATATATATGTACATGTAAGGACAACAAAATTAATAAGATACGACATCAACATGGAGATGATGCAATAACATCCATGAACAAGTACAATAAGACCATCAGCAAAAATCTTATTAATTTTGTAGACTATATATAGAAGAAGAAAAATAGTTTATTATTGTGTCACATATTATATATTAATGATGTGCAACAATAAAGGACAAAATTAAAAACTTTGATGAAATATAAAACATCCGGCCAACAGGCCTATGCGACACACAGCACAATACAGTACATAATAAAATGAAAAAAATAAAGACGATACATACAAAGCCATAATGGCAGTACAATCTGTAATATGATACTAATATCATGGATATATAAGGCAAATATTACCTGCTAAGGCTACTCCTACGGCGCAAGTACATTTGCCTTACTAGGGCGGCTAGGGGTTGAATAAACTTCTTGCTTTGTAAAAGGAACACGGCCTGGTTAACATGAGATAGAGTAATAAACAATGGTTCTGATCTAATTATTTCCAGCCACAAGTCGTACCTTAAATCTGAGTAAAAACTACAACAGATCAAAAAGTGAACTTCATCCTCCACACAATCAATATTTCAAAACTTACATGTCCTATTTTGCAGTGGTGTCTTAGGGCTAGTAAATCTACCAAGTTCTATTTCTAAAGGCAAAGTGCCACAGCGTAATTTACTGAGAATACTGCGTTGGGATCTATTCAGTATTGTAGTTACATATATCTATATATATATAATGGACAATGGACAGACGGAGAGACAATGGCATCGCCCTTGACATGGGACTAATGAATGTGCTTACCGACACGACCCAGGAGGTAATCGACTGACTGAGGCTATATATGTCATAATATTAAGTAATGGATTTCTGTTCTGGACAATGACACAATTGCCCGCTGTAACGCATGGATTACAGCAAGCCAAATCGTCTAGATTACCTTAAGTAACTCAACACTGTACAGAAATATATAATCTGTGTCAGTTGCCGACCTCTGGAGAGAGACATGCCCTCGTGTTGAGGTACGAGGATACTGCCTACATTTACTATGAGTTTCTATGTATTGCAGTGTTCCTAAAATCTAGTTAAACTTTTTCGTAGACCATCTATGGTTACTGTCATCAGCATAATATATTACCAGATGTTTTATAAACACAGAGAGGGAAAGGGAGAGAGAGAAAGGGAGAGAGAGAAAGAAAGAGAAAGAGAGAAAGAAAGAGAGAGAGAGTAAGAGAGAGAGAAAGAAAGAGAGAGAAAGAAAGAAATACCCGTGCTCGTGGGTTTCACCAAAGTGTTAAACGTCTGAGACCTGCCTCACTTCGGGCTTTCCTCCCACATTAAGCTGACACGCCGCGATATAACTGGAATACTGTTAAAAGCGGTGTTAAACCCAACTCTCTTGCACTCTTTTTCAAGAGATCCGAGTCGAATGCCTTCGAAAAATCGATAAAAGCTACAAATGTCTGCCCGACATAGATGTAAATCTCTTGATGATAGTATTTAAAACAATTATGTTATCAGCGGTTTAATAAACCCAGATGGACACTCGAACGTATACAAACAGAGCAGCCAAAGACAAAATTGAAATAATGTCAATATACGAAAACAAAAATCATATCAATACAAAAACAGAAATTCTATGAATACCAAAACTCGCAAAAGATATTTGTACCCTGCTCACACACATAAGTCCCAAAGAGGGACAGGTCAGTTGCTAAGGCAGAAGGCGACCTCTTAAACACTTAAAGCAACAACAACAACAACATATTGCCATCGTTATAGCAAATGGCTTATGCACAACTTAATGCTCAGTTTGTTGCTTACTCCGAAGGTGGACTTGAATACAACGGTAATAAATTTAAGAACATAAGGATTTTCTAGCGACAATCATCACTTCTAACGATGTCATCACTTCATATCGGGACATCATCAACGACCCTGTACGATTAAAGTTTCTTAGATATCGGGGCTTCACCTATGGACATTTGCTGAGGTTAAATTGACATTGTTTGCGAAGGTTGGAGGTAGTGTGACGTGTGTGCAATAGAGTGTGAAATTGGTTTAATAACAGTGTAGGCGAAACAGGGACATGCCGCCACCTGCACAGTTCATAGCTAATACCTCATTATATCACCATATAACAATAGGTGAGGGCACAGTGAGCTGATGCTATATGTTCACCAGACTATAAGAACTTTACTCAGCTCTAGCGCGGACGCCTGTTTATGGCCAAAACAGAAACAAGACTCCAGTAAATCAGAAAAAATCGCATGGTCTTAAATTTGAAATATGCAGACAAGGCGACGGCCTTAAATTTAAGAACCATTCTCGGGAAAAAATAAGTTTCCTTAAATGTCCCACAATTTCAGGAACCATCAAGTGAGATCTACGGATATCATGACATTTTCCTGCACGAACACTATTTCATCCCAGTTGTTAATTATAGGAATTTCCACTACTACTGTCTGAAATGTACTCATCATACAGCAACAGTTGGTCACATAATCACACGTGTGTTCTCGAAACTACAAGATATTTACTCAGCACTAACACGGATGTCATGACTGTTTATGCCAAAGACGTACAAAGATATTCACAACAAGATATTTACTCAGCACTAACACGGACGCGATGAATGTTTTTACCAAAGACTAACATACATATTCAATGCTAGATATGTACTCAGCACTAACATGGACGACATGGATGTTTATACATATTCACTACTAGATATCTACTCAGCACTAACATGGACGACATGGATGTTTATACATATTCACTACTAGATATCTACTCAGCACTAACATGGACGACATGGATGCTTATACATATTCACTACTAGATATGTACTCAGCACTAACATGGACGACATGAATGTTTCTACACTACTTGACATAATCTCATCGATTCAGGGGTGCACTAACACACATACTTACTTGCGTTAACAGTCACCGCCACGGAAGGAAATGTTGTACTTGTCCTAATATCCGTATCGAGGCTACACGAAACACTCCAACCATCACTTAAATCTGCTCAAATGCCAAACGGTTTACGCTGATGTTGTAACCTCAGTTGAATACATGCAAAGTACACATTCCAACCACCCGACAAGGTAACAACTTTTAACACAGATCTCTTGGCATACACGAACACATGATCCTTCACTACAAGTATATGTAACTTACTTCCCCGTCACGAGCGCACAAGACCTTGATGCTGTAAAATGTCCGTACAGTCATGTAACGCTTAATAGGATCCGTCATCACCTGTCTCCATGGTTACAGTTTGATTTGTTGTCATGTGATTATTGTGTTCGCCAGTCGGGCGGTAGCCAATGAATTGCTAATGTGATTGCAGCGCGAATATTGAGAGCGAATATAAAGTTTTAATCAAGAAGGTCTGTTGAGCTGTGACTTCAGCGTGTTCTGCCTTGCTTAATGATTTAAAGGAGGAGTTGATTGGATTTAATGATTGGGACTAGCTTGTTCTGTTTTAACGTAAACATAGGTTTCACACATGTACATCATGCTTCGAAATTTAATCAGTAGGTATGATTGTAAATGTGATTAATTGTTTGTTTGTTTGTTGTTTAACGCCGCACTCTAGCAATATTCCAGCTATATGTCGGCGGTCTGTAAATAATCGAATCTGGACCAGACTATCCAATGATTGACATCATGAGCATCGATCCACGCAATTGGAATACGATGTCATGCATCAACTAAGTCAGTGAGCCTGACCACCCTACCCCGTTAGTCGCCTCTTACGACAAGCATATTCACCAGTGATATAATTTATGATAGTTTCGTTTATTTTGCATAGTACAATTCCTTCATATTCCCCATTTCAAAATTCTCTCGATATAACGAGATCGGATATACGAATAGTCGCACATCACAAATCTAGTTCTATAAATTTTACTGGTAATTTATTTTAGGGTTGAGGGTGAGGGGTCGTGAAAACATGTTACATGTATGGGGTGGGGGGTGGGAGGTGGGGATGGGGGGTCCGGCTAAATATGCCACAGTCATAGTTATCATCATTATCATTATTACGTGAGAAGAGAGTCTACGCCTGAATGCCGGAAGGACCTCAATGTCTCTATATACAACCTTAACTTTGAAGTGAAATAGAAAATCAACATGTACTTCCCACTTTAGGTTTCGGCGGGAAAGTATCTGGTCTGCGATATGATTCACAAAGCAATGCAAACATCGTGTCTTCTAAAGCTGGGACGTTGTAAATATCGTTATTTCGACATTTCACTGAGTCAGCATTCGTGGCATAACTTCATGTGTGTTTTGTGAAAATTGGCCAAAGTCCGCTTAGAATGTTTCAGTTAATGCGAAAGCACGAAAACACGCACTCTGTATTGAACTGTGTATGCAGCCAGGCGGTATGTTGTTTCGCGTTTACAAAGCTACGTCAGCGTATGTCGATAATAAGTCGCTAATGACATCACACATTTTACAATCAGCTGTTCACGCTCAAACTCATATATAGCCACACTCAGCAACATTCTTATATTCTTGATATTTATTTTCAATTGTACATAAACATGATTATGTTCAAATGAAAATATATATCAAGTTTGCCAATGAGATTCTCAATAAGGATAAAGGTCTGAGCCCTTTGTGGGGTATCCTCCCAAAACGTGTACAGCTTACAACAGCTAAATGGTCCAGTACAAAGCTCATCCCTCGCCTCTTACCTTCAAATCGGAGAGGTCTAATGATGTTCCAAAACTTCTAGATAAGCAATAACAAAAGTTAAAGTCAGTAGAAACTCTACCCGGCATGTTGAGCTGATACACTGAATGATTACTCACTGGGGATTAAGCGATTAATTAGGGTCGTTTATTCTGTTTCCTGGTTCTCAGTTAGCTACTGTTATCACGGAAGAATGATTATGTAAGGAGATTAACCAATACCATTGTGTTAGGCCTCTTTGTAGGGATTACAAGCAAAAATGAATAGGGGTTTTGTAAGTTACGTCCACCTGTGTTTTTCGAATGAATGAACTTTGTAAACTGGCGCTAATTCGAAGTTGTTACATGTTTGAATGGCGAAATATTTCATCGGTTCTTCCTCATTTTGCCGACAGGCAGAGGTGTGTAATTGTGTTAATCCATACATGCGCGTCACTAACTAGACGGCTATTAGTAAGAAAATCAGCGATTGTTCTCATTTCGCCATCAGATTAGAGGTGTCAAGCCGTTCACCGTTAGGGGTCAACTGTTGACCCCAAAGTTTTATATATCTTGGATTGGTTCATATTTGATTACCTTTTATGTCATTTCCAAGTTAAAAGAAGGTTCTCTCATTGTCGGCAGTGCAAGATTTGTCTGTTTGTTTGTTGTTTAACGCCGCGCTCAGCAAAATTCCAGCTATATGATGGCGGTCTGTAAATAATCGAATCTGGACCTGACAATTCAGTAATTGGCATCATGAGCATCGATCGACGCATTTGGGATACGATGACATGTATCAACCAAGTCATCGAGCCTGACCACCCGATCCCGTTAGTCGCCTCTTACGACAAGCATAGTCATCTTTTATGGCAAGCATGGGATGCTGAAGACCTATTCTACCCCGGATATTCACGGGTCTGGCAGGGAAAGAGAGTTAACAGACTGGAAACTGGACATTTGTAGTCAGTTAACTCACTTGCCTCGGGAAGATGTCGACAGGGCCAGCCGACCCTTCTTACGTAACTTTAGATAGAATTTTTCTGACAGGTGAATGACAAACCCGCTGTTGTCTTTAAGTGAATACTCTTACAATTTGTGTGTATGTAATTGATAAGTTGTGTTTTGGTTACCTGACTCTTTCACGAATATAAAGCATAAGATATATAACTATGAATTTGGTTTATTAAAAAATATTTTATGCGAAGTTTTTGTTTAAGTGATTTATGGAACAAACATTTTATATCTAGTTTATCTATTCAATTGAGACTAAAAGATATCCTCATGTAATGTCTATCTATATACATGTATTTAGAGCCGACACCAGCATGTCTTACCTGTCGTGTTTTCAAAGTATTCTAAAAGGATGATGGTACCGTCTACTGTTATGTTTGATGAACGTTAAAGTACAATTGTCAATGAATACATAAATTGCGATGAATATGCCTGTCACCATTGAAAGCTATAAGATAAATTGAAGCATACATAGTATGTCTTCTATAAACCGCCACTACGTAAAGTTACCAGAAAAGAAACCAGTGATTATATATAATCGAATCATGATAAATACTAGTATTGAGTGAGTGAGTATGGTTTTACGCCGCTTTTAACAATATTCCAGCAATATCACGGCGGGGGACACCAGAAATGGGCTTCACACATTGTACCCATGTCGGGATTCGAACCCAGGTCTTCGGCGTGACGAGCGAACCACGAGGCTACCCGACCGCCCAATACTAGTATTGCATTCTAGGGGTATTATGTATGAAAACAGAGACAGGCAGCCATTGTAATGTGCCCACCCGGCATGGGTTACAAGATTATAATACAATCATACGTATAACTTCACACGGATAATGAACCTCTCACAAATAATCTCTATAAGAGGTGAGAAGCGTCCCCCAAGAAAACAAAGACAAAGTGTGAAAAAGGGAGATATGTGTGTACCTACGGCGTTGAGCTACAAAACAACACCATTCCCAGGAATAACGAACATCTCACAAATAACCTCTACAAGAGGCGACTTGCGTGCACCAAGACTTGAAGGAAAGGCAAAGTGTGAAAAGGGTAGATATATCTTTCCCTACCGTGTTGAGCCACAAAACAACACCATTCCCAGGAATAACGAACATCTCACAAATAACCTCTACAAGAGGCGACTTGCGTGCACCAAGACTTGAAGGAAAGGCAAAGTGTGAAAAGGGTAGATATATCTTTCCCTACCGTGTTGAGCCACAAAACAACACCATTCCCCATTTGAGAGAGGAATATATATATATATATATATATAAAATACAAAAGTCCAAAGATGAGCTGTATAATTTACTCAACCGGTTTCTCGAATGTCATTTTCAAGCAGTCAGTTTCAATTTCAATTTCTTTATTAACTCAAACCACTCAAACCACTCAAGCCGGTGGTATATGAGCAACATAATAACATACATATGTACAAAAATACAATGTGATCAAATGGCAACAGCGGTTTACTTTACTAGCGGACAGATAATATTATTTTTACAAATTTAGATAGTTTTTTTAAGATTGTAAGTTCTCATATTTGACATTAAATGCTTAAAGGAAATAATGTTTGAACAGTTTAGATACCTGTTATCAATTAATGTTTTTCTTCGCTGGTCAAAATATTCACATCTAAAGAGGTAATGGAACTCGTCGACTATGGCTTTAAAATTGGAGTAAAGATTTCTGGTGATAAGAGAAGATATTTTTCAAATTTGAAATTAGTTTTGTAAATTCTATAGTTGCAAGCTTTGGTGCTTGTAGTTAAATCGATATTCCATTTTTGAATAAATTGATCTTTTAAAATGTTTTCAATTCTTGAGACCAACCAGCCGTGACTTACAGAATCCGGTTGATTAAAAACTACAGAAAGACCACACCTGTTTAATAACCTCTTAACGGACTCCATCCAGTTCTTTCTATTGTTATTAGTATTATTTATAGAATTTATGTTTTTCAATATTAGGGTTGAAATTTTATAACAGGTCGATTATTACTTATATGTTTGTGCCAAAACGAAATAATTTTCTTATATATATACGATTATACTTATTGCAAATCTCCCAAATTCACCATACAGCATATAATCGGGTGTTGAGTCTAAGATTGAAGGCAAGTTTAATGAATTTCAAATGTACTCTTTTCAATACTGAATGATTTTCGTATCCTCAAGTTTCACAACCACAGGTTACAATATGCAAGATTAGAACACCAAAGGCTTTGAGAAGACAATCAACAGGTACATTTAAATTCCGTGCTCTTTTTAATAAACAAAACATGGCCTTTGTAGCTCTATCAGCGAGGTTTTTAAATGCACATACAAAACGACGGTTTGTATGGAATAAAATTATACCAAGATAGACATAACTATTTACAATTTCTAAATCAACAGAGTCAAAATGAAGCCTCAAATTTTGTTTCACACTACATCCGAGACAGCGTGGGCTCACTAAGATGTCTGCGCAGGGAATATCCAACTGTTGATGGAACATGCGAAGAGGAAAAGTAGAGCCCTGGCTGAAGCCCTTCTTGCTCTGTCTAAAGCGTTGGACATGATGTCGCATTCGCACCTTA